GAAAGCAGTGTAGGCTCTCAAATGAATTGCCACGTGGGTAGCTTCTTCCTAGAGAGCAGCAGTTATGGAAGTTGGTGACATTTAGTTAGTATACAGTTATAACATATTTCATACAAAATAAAGTTAACATACTTTTCAATAATCAATTAGAAAATATGCCATGCATTCCTCTTCAAATGTAGTCAGTCATGGGTAAGGGAGAGAGAACCAGAAATAATTTGGAATGATGTGTGTGTGAGGGTGTGTGTTTCCTTACTAGTTACCAATGTGCAAACGAGACCTCATACATAACCATGGCACTTTTATGTTTTTTTTTTATTTCTGTTGTAAAACAAAACAAAACAAAACAAAACAAAAAAAAAACAAAAACAAAAAACCTCTCTACCAGGTTTTCTAGGAACTTAAAGCCTAAGGCAAATGCAAAGATTTTGGAGCTGTATAAAATAAGTTATAGCTCCTTTCCAGTGAGCCTTGCCCAAACTCTTATTCTATTAATTAAACATCCTGTGGCGACTTGCTATGTCTTATTAAATATTTAAAAGTATGTATAGTTAGAGACTAGAAAACATGGGTTATTGAGACTGAAGAAAGCCAGCCTTTCTTTCTGGAGGTCTCTGTTTCACAGCACATCCATGTTCTCTGCTGGAATGAGATTGTACTGCTGAGAATCCTATACTGTGACAATTTTGCCCTGTGGCACTTAGGAGAAGTAGTGTTTTGAGGACAGACTTGTAGATGGTCATGCTGCCGGGAGAAGGCAGTGTCCTTCTTCACACTGATGTGACATGGAGCCTACTCCAGAGATCCTCTTCAGGCCTTTGCAGCAAAAGACACAGTCCAGTGATCCATATTGTTGACAAGGTATTTTAAATACAGATTTTTTTTAATCGAAAAGTGTTTTCCTGTTGGATGTGATGATGCTTGCCTTTGATCCCACCACTCAGGAGGATTCCTATGATTTTGAGGCCAGCCTGGTTTACATTGTGAGTTGCAGGGAAGCTTGGAACCTTATCTAAAAATGACAGCAACAAAAGAAAAGTGTTTACCTGGGAGATGACATAATTGATTTTTAAATTTGAATCAGACGAAAGTTACCAAGACAGGAGGTTAAGAAAAAGACTATCTTGTTATGCTCTTAATTTTCTATCTGAGAGACAGTTCTCAGGGAAAAGCCTGACATGTACTATTCCTATGGCTACCTGCCTTAGCACATTGCTAGCTTGTGCTCGTCCACTGTGGCACTTTGATCTGCAGATTTGATTTTGCCTTCAAAGTTGGTGACACTGCATTTGGTGATGAGCTTCTGAATGAGGTGTTTTGGGACATAAGAAGTTACAACACTTGAGGGTGGATTAAAAAATGAATATGTAAATATCAGACTGATGCTATTTTCCAGTGTACCTTATTTTCCATATAAATATATAGAACATTTCATAAAATGCTCCCAGACCATTTAAAACTCAAAGAAATGCAGCTGATGCAATGAAATACATAGAGAACTTGTAAAAACATACAGATGCGCAAGTGGGTTGCTGCCAGACAGAAATTTAAAGGCGGTTCGCTTAACTGCAGGGTGCTATGTTTTGTATGTACCATGGTGAAGCTGTTAGTAAGGAGGGTGCTGTGTTGCTTGAGAAAGTAGATTGTCTTTGGACCTTTTTAACTCACATGTTTCGAATGTCAGTATTTTGGTGGCATTATGGCATCCTGATCAATTCAATGTGAAAAAAAGATTATAGCTTCTTGTACAAAGTAGATGTTTAAAGACATTTCAAATAAATTGTTTGCAGTCTCTGTGTTTTACAAAATAGCTTTCATAGTTTTGTTAACTATCAGACTGAATCTTTGAATTAATTGAATGGAACTTTATAGATTAAACTTTGGTCTTAAAAAGCATTGCCTTAAAAAAAAAGTAATGTTTTAGAGAATGTTAAGGACTCATGAAGTTTGCTTTTTGTAAACCTCTGAGGCTGTAAAGAAAACCAAGCAAAAGTCTCATACTTGAATTGTAGTAAACAATATGCTGCCAACGATTGAAGCAGTGTTTAATGTAGTCGGGGTAGCCTTTTTACTGGCTGGCATAGTCTTTACTTTCAGTGTTTCAAACTGGATTCATCTCTTCCATCTATTTTCTTAATTCTGCTATATTATATATATTAAAAAATTATTGAAAATACTATTTTAAAGCAATGGGTTTTTATTACTATGGTTTCTTATTATTAGAAGTTTTAAAAAGAGATTTAAAACTTTATCCCACATAATAACAAGAAAGTTTGAAGAATAAACCACAAATTTTTATTTCTAGTGTTTATCCCTTCACAAGATGTTAGCACAAAAATAAAGCCCATGTCTTTTATTTCTGCTGGTATTTTGTAATTCCCAAGAAGCAAAAACTACTGCAAGATAGAAGGCGTGCTATTAAGAATCCAATATGAAGTCATATATATGATTTTTCTTCTGGTTAAAGAGTATGTTAATCACATGGCATTTGGGAGAAAAGGAGCAAGTTGTGAGTGATTCTGGCTTTCCCACCATCTGGTTCCGTTGTGCCTCTTGGTATCTTAGAGATGCTGCTTTTGAGTTTGTTTCTAGACTAAAATATCAGATAATTTTATATGTTTTAGGGATTATAGTCACTGTGCTTTTTTAGCTTTGCCACCTACCAGGTTTGTTGGACTGTCTGTCATACCTTGCTACCAACTTTTCTTTGTTTGGCCCCATACAGTTTAAACATGTGTGGATCTGAAATGCTCTAACATCAGATGTTGGCATTTTGGCTTAAGATTGTTTAGCTCATGAAGTCTTTGTAAATATTTCCAAAATATGAAAACCTCACAAATCTTTAACACTTGGCCCAAGCATTTTGGATAAAAGAGCTACTATCCCTATCTTGCCTGCCAGTTATTGCCTTCTGGCCACTTGTCTCAGAAGAGTAGAGTCCTTGTATAGTTCAAGCCAGCAGGCCAAAGACAGTCAACACCTTTTCTCTCTGGCTCAGAAGGGTGGCCCTCAGTGGCGCTGCAGAGAGAGCATTACTCTAGAACTCCCCAGGTCTCAATCTAGACACGTCATTAGTCACTTCTCTGAAGGTGAAGGTAAAGAGAGGTGATTTCCACTTGTCTTTTTTAAAAATTTATTTTATTATTTATTTTAAGGTTATATTTAATTACATCATTTCCTCATTCCCTTTCCTTCCTCCAAATTCTCCCATTTACCTTTTCTTGATCCCTTTCAAATTCATGATTGTTGTATGCATATGTGGATATGAATATACATGTACATTCCTGATTTTACTTGCTCAGTCTGTCCAGTGTTACCTGTCTGTGTGTTTTCAGGCTTCCCCTTTAGGGCTGCACAACCAGTTGCTGTGCTCTTCCCTGTGGAAGATCATTTACCCCACTCCCAGTGTTCTTTAGTTGTGTGCAGTTCTTTGTGTAGGATTGAGGTTTTGTGGTCTTTCTCCCATCCACTTTGTCATGTCTACGGTTGTTGTCTGTGCTTAGCTCATGTTTAGGTAGTCATGTTGGTGAGACTGTATGAGTGTAGCTTCTGAGGTTACTAGGAGACTATCTCACAACAAACTCCTTGATTCTCTGGATCTTGCAATCTTTCTGCCCCTTCTCTACAATGTTCCTTTAGTCTTAGGTGTGGGAGTTGTTTCCATTGGGACTGGGACCCACAATTCTGCATTTTGATTGGTTGTGGTTTTCCAAAATAGTAGCCATCTGTTGGAAAGCTAAGCACAGAACACCCAAAGAACCAAAAATGATCTTTGTTATGAATCACCTATATGGGGAACAATATTTTTGGTATTTGCGAATATTTCTGTTCTTTGGAATAATCTTAGATTTTAAAAGTGTCCAATAGCTTTCATGATTTTTAAACAGATATCTCAAAAATTTAAAGGTAGTAAGTTTAGGTCCTTCACCTATTTTTGGTCTGTTTTCACTGAAGAATAAATTGTGACTTCAAAGATTTAAAACTTTACGAGGATTCATGTTCACAGAGAAGACAATAGGTGGTTTAGTGTAGCTGTTAAAGACTCATAAGAAAACAAGCAGTGTACTGTGAGATACTGTTAGAAGGAAGGGCACCAAACTGTTTTTTTTTCTTTTTTTTTTTTTTTTGCATTGATACATGATTCCCCAAATACATTGTATTCTCACCCTTCTCTGAGGAGCCAAAGCTTTTCCTTATTGAAAAGATTGCATGCTTTCCGATTGGTTGTAGTTGAAGTATTTTTTTTTAACTTAGAACATGTCTATATTGACTTACAGACAGAACATTGTCTTGCAATTATGATTTAAACATGGAGTGATTCCCATACTACAGAGGTGATCAGAAAAACTATTTTCACCTTTGTATTTTTATAATTTCTACACAAACCTAATTATGTCAAGGTAAGAATCATTTCATATAATATTTGATTTTTTTTTTTTGACACTAACGAACCAGACCAAAAGTACTGGTTTGCTTTGAAGGAAACTTCCTTTAGTTGTAGCTTTGTTTTCATAAGCACTTAGGGAACGCTATGTTTTATTTTCCAAAGTGCTGACTTTTACATTTGTTCCTTGAAAGAATTCTGCCCTTGCTGTTCCTTTCTCCCTGGTCTGTGTCTGTACTTAGGCTGATCAGGCCAACATTCGTAATGTAAAAAAGGATGCTGATTAGAGAAGAAAAGTCAAGCAGGTTTAAGACTCATTTTCTTTGGAAAAGTATATTGAGGGCAGCTTGCAGCTGGCAAGATTTTCGTATTAGGTAATAGTTCTAAAGTTAACAGTAGCATCAGGCCTTTAAATCTTTTCTTTTTGTATTTCTGGAGGAGGGCAATATGAGTGCCTTGCTGAGGCCTTCCTTGTGCTCATCAACATAGCAGCCTCAGCTGCCCCCTTGGATCCCCCGCCAGGGCTGCTATCATCTTCTGATCAAATATTAATGTGTGATCCTCTGCTTGCTCACTAATCCAAAGCCAATTAATATTATCTGTCAATTATTTACAGATCCTGAGGTGCAGAGGCAATTCCCGGAGGACTACAGTGACCAGGTTTGGAATGCGTAATTAATTTTTTACATGACAAAATTTATTTCAGAGTTGTTCAACATATTATTACTGTTCTCTTTACTGAAAGAGATAAATGAAATTTAGAAAGGAATAGAAGTGGTAATTAGGAACCAAAGACAAAATATAAAGCACAGTGAAGTAGGATTGAAAATATTAATGCTAAATTTGGAGTGTTTCCTCCAGAGGGCTATTCACAACAACTAAGCAAGAGATTCCACTTTAGGTGCGTCATTGCCTATGGGTCAATAGGAAATTCTTTCTGAGATGCCTGTGAACTGAAGATTTTTTTTTAAAATATACTATTCAAGGAGTCAAGCAGTCTGACCAAAAACGGAAGGAGCCTTATAACATTATCATGGAATTTGCAGTGCAGGTGACACTACTGTTGTCATCTTGGAGTAAAGCAGGTACTTTCAGGGAGAAAGTGTCTTTGTCCATGGTAGGGAGTGCTAAGACTGCATGGGTAGTCCCATCACCTCTCAAATTTCCAGCACTCCATGAACAATGGCACAACATTGTTGAAGTTCTCATCTCAGTCTACTCTATAGTTGGTTTCAGATGATACACTGAGGCTCCATTTTCTACCCCAAGGAATACTGAAGACACTTTATAGCTTTATTTGACTCATTACATTTTTAGTTTAAGTTTTCAGTTTGCATAGTTTTTAAATAGTAAAAAAGCATCTTTACAACAATGCTATTACTCTTTATCTCTGACAACTTTGTCAAACCTTTCACACATGGAATATTGTGCACAAAGCATATTCCTGATGCATTCATTCAAAGTTTTTTTGTTACAAGTCCTTGAGTGAGGGTAAATATAATGAAAAGAAACATGCAAGGCAGTGGTAGCATCTTTGTATTGTGGCCTATCATAGAGTTAGGAGTTTGATATGTCCTTTTGAAACAGGGGTGACAGTGTGTCCAGCAATACAAAATAAGCAGCATAATGACATGCTTTGTACCAAGATGTTAGGATATAAGAATCTGAGAGAGTTGGTCTGGTTTGCTTAGTGTTGACCTCAATATTAAAATAAGATTTAAAAATAAATTAAAATCTTACCTTACTTGTCATTGTCATCTACTAGTTGAGTTAATTTTTATCATGTTTTAAGTTTGAGTCCTTTCAATTAAACAATATAATCCAAAGATTATATGATTTTAAGAAAATTACTTATCTTTCTTTAAATCATATCTGTAGGATGAAAAACTGTTCCTCGTAATTTACTGATGGTCATAGCTCTTAAGGAAATAAGTGTTCTTAAATCTTTTAAGTAGGTAAATAACCTTTGTGATCTGCTGACCTGAATAATCTAGGGAGGTACAGTTCTTTGGGAGAAAACTTAGAATAGCATGGTTACCATCTGGGTCTAGTCCTTTAAACAGAGGTCTCTACTAACGCCAAAACAGAGACATGAGTTTTATAGTACATAGCTTTAGAAACTGCATAGGTAAGAAGTTTGTAATAAAGCTCTAGGAAGTAGAGCTAAGGCAAAAATAAAATTTAAGAAGCATAAAGAAAATATAAACCATTCTGCTATTTTACTACTAAGAAGAAACTGCTGGAACAATCTGGAGTTTTAGTTGTTTAGTTTAGTTTATGTTCTTTTCTCCCCAGTACATGTGTGTATTCATGTGTTTGAGGAGGGTGTATGTACATGTATATGTGTATTCACAGAAAAATATAGACTGTTTTATGTACTCTCATTGCATGTGGAGTCCAGTTTATTAATGTGATGTTAACTGTGTAGTGAATTTAGTCTTTTACTTTTGTCAGTAGATGGCCTTACATACATTTTCTCTGTCAAAGTTGGAATGATTAAAATTATAGTAGGTAGTTATGAAGTAGCAGCTGTAGTTAAGTTGTTCACAGGATGGAGGTATTTGTTTCTTTGTTTGGAGGAGTGACACAGTGCTGAAATTTGAGAAGCAGACTTTGGGCTCAAGGCAGACCTGTAAGAATGTACACAATACAGTCTTATTTAGCATCTCCTCAAACTTAAGATATATAATTTTTGTTCTTGATTCCAAACAACTCAGGAAATGAGACATGAAAGATCTACTTGATTTTTGAAGATATTTTTCCAACTTTCAAAAATGTACTTGAGAATCATATCTACTATGAAAGAGAATGAAGAATGCTTGTTTCTTAATTGCTGTTTAAAATCATTTTTATTCTGATTTCATAGGCTTTTTTTCATATTGTCATTTGTTTGAATAAACTAGATTATCTGTCTCTCCCAGATATATATTTCCTGTATACTATTATAAAAGATTCTTAGGAAATTTCTATTCTGTGTAAGCATTAAGTACAGTATTTCAAATATTAAAACATTTATGATGTGGTCCTTAAGGAATATTTAAGATAATTCACCACCCAATATAACACTTATCACTGTGTGGGTGTGAACACCCCTGTTCTCTCCCCCATACCCTCTCCGTTCGATTTTCACTCCTCGTTCACCTAAACTGCCAGAGCTTGTTTTTACATATAGTGTATTTCCCATGTACCGCACACTTGATCAGAGACACTGGCTGATGCTAGATGTTTTATTCTGTGTGTTCTTTGTACCTTACAGTAAAAGAATCTGTCACAAATTATTGTGCCTCACTGCTTTAGAAACTGAGAAAAAAGGGAGGTTAGATTGACATCTGTGGCTGAATAATGATGACCAGCCTTTTGGCTCTCCTTGAGCCACAAAGCTAGCACTGCCTTTAGAGTGGAAAAAGAAGTAAGAAGAAAGGGGAGGATAAAAGAGAGTTACAAATCTGTGCTCTCAGAGATGCATTACTGTTGGGCCAGTTGTCTGCATGGTATGATAATCCATTTTGATCTTCTCTGTCTTAATTGTCTGCTAAAGACAAACGGGCAGTAAAAGTTCATCAGTTTCATCTTTTTGCTTCTCGTTTAGAAGCGGAATAAATGATCCATCACTACAGAGGAAGCCTTTTTTTCTGTCATGGAAGTAATGCAAACCCAACACGTTTTATTAAAATGTTTCCCCTCATTATTTCACTCCTCTCAGCTCTGATAGATCTTACTGTTTCATAAAAAATGTAATCTGAAATGTAAATAAGGGTCTTGATACAGAAAGAAGTAATGAGCAGCCTGAGCCACATTTTAGGGCTCTTGGTTGTAATTACTGACAGAGTGGTTTCTCTGTGCCCCATTTTCCTTCCTTAAGTTGTCTGTGACACAGTCAGACCACAGTGACAGCTATAGTTTAAACCATTAAGTCAGTGTAGCACTCAACAGTGCATCAAAATCTAGTGATCCTGGAAGTATAGGCTTTGTTAATTCCTGGAAGGTGCAAAGTGCTTTTTTAAAAAGCAAAATAAACAGCAAAACGGGAAAAGCAAGGGCTTTTCAGAGTTCACATTGCTTACTTATCTGCTTTTGTTTAAAGCTTAACTAGTTTAAATACTAAAACACTAGCAGTTTTAGTTAGGGTTCTGACTTGAAAGGATCTTGTACTTCTGGAAAAAATTATCTTCTAACAGCTTATCTATGAGATGAAAAAGAAATTCTTTGTCTCATAGGTTTATAATAAAATCAGCAATTTTTTAATAGTTAAGGTTATGAAATTGAAGGTGGATTTTTAATTACTTTGGATTATGGGAAAAATCTATTCTTTTGAGCCTCCAACAATAAGCAGTAGAAAATTCCTGTTACAGGGCGGAAGCACAATAGTGATTCAGTCCTCTTGTTCTCAAAGATAGCATATTAGTCTGACACTGGAAATAAGAAAAAACATGACTGTCTTTGACTCACAAATAAAACCATAGTTCTGTAGTTAGCTTGGTGTACTTATGTCATTTTATTTTCTCTGTTTATTCATAATTATGGGAATAATTTGTAAAACTTTGTAAGTACCATTTTAATGAATACTAATTGAATTAAGAGAAAACAATAGTTAAACTTATATGTTTGTAAATGATCAAAATTTACTCCCATCAAAAGCCTATTATTGGTTTTAAAACAATAGGTATTTTTCAGATTAATAATTGGTAGTAATTATGATGTATGGCATAGAATAGTATGAAATAAAGGCATAGTAACCTATCAGATACTTCCATAAATAGCATTGTACTGTATCAAGTGAAACAGGTATTATACATGATTTTAAAGCATAGTGGTCATAATGTAATTTAATTCTTACATTAAAACATGTAGAATTATTAATTTGTTCTCATAATTGTACTTTTTATAGCTCATTTGTTCTAAGAGTGGCTGTTAAGAGTTGAGGGTACTAGACGTTATTTCTTCAAATGCTCATGTATATTTTGATAAAATAGTGACTTAGTGCCCTGGAAAGAGGGGTCTGTGTACGTGCACCCACCCCCATATACAGAGATTGCTGTTAGAATCACAGGTCATTTTTCTTTCCACTGGCACTGAAACACAGGTTATAATGAGTCCAACAATTTTTAAGCATTTATAGAAACTATAAAAATTTTATGGAAATCTTTATATAGAAACTAACAGTGTTTCTTGTACAACTGTATGTAAGCCATGTAGAAACATGGTGCATTGGGAAAAATAAAAAAGTGCTGTTTTGTGGTTTCACATGGCCTATGTGATTTCAGAATTTCACCGTAGTAAATTAAGCAAATTAAAAAAAATAAACATCAGCTTGATACTAAAAATGAACGCAAATATGTTGCATAGTCTGGGCTAATTGTGAAGAAAATATTCATCTTTGGGTAGTATGTAGTTGTTTGAATACGGGTTTTTGTGCTTGTGTTGAAGATATGCTCTGAAGAAACATTTTTTAAAGTTTCTTGTTATTCACAGATAACTTTGGTAAATCGATTAAAAGATTCTTATTAGAGAGACAGTAGAAGTTATAAATGGACATTGGTTGTATTGGGTAGTGGTGTCTCATGCCTTTAATCCCAGCACTGAGGAGGCAGAACAGGCAGATCTCTGTGAGTTTGAGACCAACTTGGTCTACAGAGCTAGTTCCAGGACAGCTAGGACTA